TTTTTTAGTTTTGGTTTAAAGGTAATTTCCACCAAAATAGCATTTTACTACCTGGAAATTCATAGTTTACCCCATCTATTTCTATTTCTATTTTTTCATTTTATCTATTCTTTGTCTGTTTTTATTTTGTAATAGTATAAAAAAATCAGTTAATTTATTGTTTCATTGGTCATTTAATCCTCTTTTACCCTTCATTTATTTAGTTATGTTTATATGTCACTCATTTACTATTATTATTATAATTTTTAGCCTCGTCTTTATAGCTTTACCCTCTAGTTTCTTTTATTTTTACTCATCTTTCCCTTTCTTTGCTGTGGCGTTTTATTATTTTATGTAGTGTTGTTGCATTGATTTACTTTCTATTCTATTCTAATTTGCATGGAGAAAGTCACAGAAGAGTGCGGAGGGGCCCAACTTGAGCACATTCCTCACCGCGGTCACCGTGGTTTCCGTAGCAATCAGACGTTTTATTGTGTTGGAAGCAGCATCTCAGTAAAAAAAGGAGCTTTTCACTCACTCCACTCTCAAATTCAACCCAATTAGGGGTTTGATTTTCTGCACGTATTGCTACATAGATGATGACGTACAAGCCAGAGAACCACACCTGACTGGAAAAAGAGGCTCAAGAAGTGAGATTTGAAAAGATCAAGGGAAATATAACACCTCCTTTTGAGGGGGAAGAAACCGGTTGAATCTCTCTGTTTTCCAGCTCCAATGGTTCACACAGAAACCTAAAACCTCTCTTTGGGTGGTGCCAGTGTGATTAGAGGGGAGGGGTCCTCGTCCAGCCCCTGGGGACGGCCTGCAGTGCTGACTCTGGTGATGTGAGGCTCAGAGGTGGCCTCAGCTGCTGCTCTCTGCCCCCATCAAACCCTAATGGCTTTATTTAAAATTCAAAGGGACACATGCTTCGCAATACGACTCTCTTCTCCTCTCCTGCTCACCCCACCTTTCATTTTTCTTAAACCAACAGGGCAAAGGCGACATGACGACGTGGTGGCTCGAGGCCAAAAAAGACGACCACACAGACCCGCTGCGCAGAACGTCCGCATCCAGAACAGTTCCGGTACCAGTCAGCGACTAGAACCGTAATAAAAATGTGAAGATCAGTGTCAGGATCCGTGTCGTGCCAGTGTCAGCTGTTTTGGGGATAAACGTGCAGATACAGTGATAGCATGAACAAATAGTTAGTCTCAGATTTAAATGTTCGACTTGATTGTGAATTCAAAACGTTACCAGTGAAGCTTCCTTTTACTTGTTCCTTTGCTGTGACTAGAAGCAAAATCTAAAGGCTAATTGTTTGTAGAAACAAAACAGAAATGCACAATGTCTGAGGAGTTTTCTCTCATATGTAGCTTTGTTTGTATTTTTGCAATTTTCTATTTTTTAATTTTTTTGTTTAAATCCAGATGTTCACTGCCTTTAAATGAAGATAATCGTTCTTACAAAATAAAGATAAATTGCATTTTTGTGGACAAACTTGCAGCTTTTATAATCTGATTGCTTCTTTTACATTCACAAAACACCCGATGATACACGTCATGGCCAGAAAAGCACAAGTGTGATTAATAAGCTAAATAATTTCCATTTAATTGTCCTGTAATTCTCCAGTATTGCTCCTGTTTGCTCCCAGGAGAGTTAATAAAAAAGGTTAATATTGTTATTTCCACGTTTGCTTTTTCTGCTCTGACAAATCAAAGTATCTGCTCTGAAAAAGTTAAAATGAAGAAATGTGGAACCAGACTCTCAAATTGTTTGAATTCCTTGTCGATGCAGAGGAGACTCGATAAACAACTTTTATAAAATTAAGAAGACGCTTGTCTGTTGACGTTGTGTATAATATGTCTGTGCAGTGCAATGAGAATTTTAATTGTATTGTTCTTATATGCATTAAAGTTCATTTATAGCTGCAGTATGTCCATCCTGTATATTTTATTGTGTTTTTATTTAGATTAGTCTTGTGCTCGTTGTGTTCTACTGTGTCTTATGGGTCTCTGTTTTTGATTGTACAGCACTTTGGATCAGGTTTTACTGTTTTTAAATGTGCTTCATGAATAAATTTGACTTGACTTCACATTGTCAGGGTGCATTTATGACACTACGGTGCTTTTCGGTGCAGACTTTGTGACTTTGGCTGGTTGCAGTACATCCTGGTTTCTGCCTGGGCTTTTTGATACTAATCAAAGTGCAAAAAATATATTACTTTCTGTATATTAAAGAGAATTGTCTGACTTCTGGCATTAAGATTAATATAAATTTTACTTTAATGGCTGTACTTATTGGATTTAGAGGTTTTATTTTCATTTGCAGCAATACAAGGTTATCTGTTTAATTAAATTCTTAGTTTGCTGTGTCTCTGATTAATTTATTTACAGAATACACTCATTCAGACACGTTCGCATCACTCAGACAAACTGAAGAAGACAAATATTAAATATATACAAAAGTGCAAAAAGAATATGCAGAAAAAAGCAGCGTACATAAAGTATGTGCAATGTTTATGGTGCAAAAAGTTAAGATCTACTCATATGTACTGAGGTAGACGATACCGAATAAATGTGCAATGTTTATGGTACACAGGATCGAGATGTGCAAAAATATACAGTCGGATGGTGATTAGCAGTAAAGACAGCTCTTTTTTCCACAGTTCTTTTATTATTATTTTTTATATGAAGTCTTTTTTAAAAACTGCTTGTGCTTTAATTATGCAATTTTATGCAAGTCTCCTCTTTTTTTTTTTTTTCATTTTATTGCATTTTTTAAAAAAAATGTTTGCACTTTTTATTTGTGTCATCATTTTGTCTTTTTATGCTGTTTTAGTCAGCCGGTGTGAATTAGTTTATTGGATTTGTCTGCAATGTATTTAACTCGACTGGACTATAATAGACGATTAATAATATATATGCTATTCATTTGATTTGATTTGATTTGATTTTACTCTGCCATGTTTTGTATTTTGTGCTTTACATGATTTTTGAAATTTTTAATCTGTTTAAATAGAATAGAATAGAAAATACTTTATTGATCTCCAAGTGGAAATTCTGTTGTTACAGTAGCAAGCAGAGAGAGTAAAGTGACCACCACCACAAAAGTAAAACATACAATTTAAAACTGGACTGAAAAATATACTAAGATACAAAAAGCACCATAAAGTGTCAAATTCTAACAATAAAAACCTAAAAACAAATAAACAAACATGAAAAACAACCCTCTGTGTGTGACAAGGTGCTATAGAAATAAGTCCTCTTGCGGTCTGCTGCTCTTTATTAGCGGGCGTTAAACGACAAAGACGACATAATTAAAACGCGTTTTAAAAATTAATTGGCATTAAAGACACTTGAGGTGCTTCCGCGGGCACCTGCCAATCACATCGTGCCGTGCTTGGTTGCTAGACAACGGTTGGGCCAATGAGCGCCGTGTTTGGTTTGCGTGCGGAGGAGTGCGCTGCTGTCAGCCGGACCGACATGGCCCAAGGAGCTGCTCGCAGAAACGTCCCGGAAAAACGTTGAAACCCGCGGCGTCAAGTGAGTAAACACATTCTGTTGTTCGTTTCGTCCCACTTTAACCGTCCGTTGTCGCCGCTGCTCGCCGCGGTTGTTCCGGTAACGGCAGCCATTTTTCAGATTGTCTGGAGGTGGCAGCACCGGAGACGTTAAGGAGACTTAAGGAGCTGTCGGTGGGAAACGGTAGTTTAAAAAACACAACGTCTGTTTACTCAGCAGCACAAGTTGTGTTCTAATGTCACTGGAGCTGTCTGGATAAACGCTAGCTAAAAAAAAAGGCTAAGCTAACGTTGGTTTGGTTTGTGTGTCAGAAAGCTGGAAGAAGTAGCTGAAGTTGAGTCTTTACAACCTGTTCTGGATCTCAGTAAGAAGACACAGAACTCAGTCAGCATGCTGCTGCACTGGCTCACATCCTGTTAAATCTTCATTAATATATTACCTGGGGCCAAAAACTAAAGTTCAGCAAAACATTCTAGCTGAATTTTGAGAATTTGATGCGTTTCCACACCTGGGAAATTCTCTGTCTTCAGTGATAAAAATCAAAGCTGTAGCTGGGAATCCATATTTAGGGTTCAATATCTCCAGAAATAAAACTCCCATAGCAGTGAAAGTTGGTGAGGATGCAGATTGAATAGTTTGTAGTAGATCCAGATGATTGAATGGCTCCAGCAGAGGTTTTACTTTTTCATTATTAGCCCTTGAAAATGGAAATAAGTGCAACATCTTCAAATAACGATGGTTTTCAGGCTCCAGACAGTTCCTGTAATGAATGTGTGTGTGTGTGTGTGTGTGTGTGTGTGTGTGTGTGTGTGTGTGTGTGTGTGTAACAGAAACAAACTGGAACATGTCTTGTCATTCTTGCCACACATTGAATTCTTCTGTTAGAAGGCTCAAAAGCATGTTAAACGTCAAGCAAAGTCTGTATTTTAAGTCGTGAATATGGACTCATCCATGAAAATATAAATACTTACAGGAACTTTCTGGAGCCACAACACCAGCCTTGTTTGAATATTTAGCATTTTTCCCCTGTTTTTGAAGGCAAATGATTAAAAATGTGTCCTCTGATGGAGGCATTCAATCATGTGGATCTGCTGGAAACTATGGCATGTGGCTTTTTGAGGGTAAAAATACAAAAACAAACCCCAGCTCTGAAAACGCACATATACAGGTCTTCATGTACATACATAGGAGGACCTGAGTATCTACCGCCTAACTGTGCATTTTGCTTTTATTTATTTTGCACTAAGAGTGCACACTACAGATATATTCTGTTCTATGTAAAGTTCTTCAACTCCTGCCAAGATGTTTTGCAGAACTTAGTTTTGGGTCCCAATTAACTAAGAAGCAAACTGAACAGCATCTGAGACGATGAAGCAACAGACTGACCCTGAAGTTTTATTACATAAAGCTAAACTGTTATTAAGAAAAACCTGAAACTCTTTGAAATTCAGTAATTCTTGGTGATTTTTCTGGGTTCAGTTTTCAGTGTGTCGCCAAACTGACTGCAGCAGTGTGATAAATGCGGCTTTCATGAGATTTTTATGTCCAGTTTCTGTTGATTTACTGTTTGGATGAGAGTCAACCTGAACCGTTTAACCTTCATGAAGGACTTTTTGCAGAGCTGTTGCATTAGAGATTAGAGATTTAGCGAGCTCCCAGCACGTAGCTGATAAACATCAACTGTCTGTAGGTAGTTCACTCTAAGTTATCTCCCGTGATCCCTCACGGTTCAGAACGTGGTCTAAAGTCTCCATTCAAATAAACAGCAAATATTCTTCCACGTGTGCAGCTGAGCGTCCGTGAAACTGATAATCCGTTCTTCTGTCATCTCACTTTGAATTTCAGTTTGTAAATGATGAGCTGGCGAGTTAAAAGTTAGCACTTGTTGAGCCGCTGCTCTAAGCCGCGCTCAGGCTCGTCAGGCTTTGTGGCTGTAGGTCTGCCATCTGTCTCACCAGACCGATTAAGTATCACTGAAACCAAATGGTGGGTTCCTCGAATTAGCCAGTCACACCCTTTACACAACTAAAACCATATGACAAAAATAACAGTTTATAAAACGATGTTCCTAAAAATAAATGTGCTGTTAAAACGCAGATTGTGCTCAGGAGGAACGCTGTTTATGTCCGTGTTTGTGTCTCTCTGCAGACAAATCAGCATGTTGTCTGTCTGGGATTAGTCTGATCAGCTGATAAGCACATGGAGATGAGATGTGCAGCCTGATCCCAACCTGTAACCTGTTAAATGCTCAGGCTGGAGCGGAAACAATGGATATAACAACAGCAGCATAAGAATCACAAGTTCTGTAAAAGACTCCAGAAAAATATGCACCGTTAATGTAGGAGAGTAACAGGAACAACTATTTCATGTATGTAAAGTGTCAGTAATCCTGCATTTATTGGCGTAAACTGCATTTATTCTTGCATAATCCAAATCTGTACAAGTTGCACTTAGGTTTTGGTTCACTTTAAACATACATATATAGCTTTACATTGTTGTAAACACAAATTTTCCGACCTTTAACCTGCCGCCTTTATTTAAATGCATGTATGTTTTCTGTAAATATTTTGAGAGCAAAAAACAGTCAGTAAAATTCCTTGCCTCTGATAATTAAAGTGGATTCTGATTGTAATTAATCTAAAGGTTGCCTGGGGGTACACATTTAGCTTTCTGTTTGTGATAAATGAATGAATTACCCCTCTGGGAGTGCGTCATGCTGATATTCTGATATTTAGGTTGCTGCATGTTTCCATCCGTCACCGCTGCATGTGTGCTCCCGATGCCTCGTAATCCAAACGGTGCTGAACGGCCGGCCGCTGCTAATCTGAGCGTCTATTTCAGGAACAGACTGCGTAGGTGGCTCTCGTGGCGAACTTTGTGAATTCTGCACATACAGTAGAAGATCCAGACTCGTAGCCTGAAGGCTGCACCGCAACAATGCCGGAGTCGTCCGTGGGTGAGTGTACACCTGAACTTATCTTATTGATATGAGTGAGACTGTGCACTATGTTGAACAGCTTTTGATTTTGACCTCTTTATCAAACGCTGCTGGTAAGACGCAGGTTGAACTGACACAGATGACAGGTTCAAGCTATTCTTAGTTTCTGTGCCAAGAGTTAACCTGAATTCCTTTAACATTTAACTTAAAATGAAAAGTCAAATGTTAAATTAGCATAGGGCCATCTACTGTATATATTTGATAGGTATTTTTTTTCCCACCAGTCAAGGACATTCGCAGCAGCTCTGTTGAATGTAGAACATCCCCCTTGAGGCAGTTCAGCCAGTCATCGCTGCCTCTGCACAGAAACTCCTACGCGCTCAGTACGTTCTGCGCGGAGCACAACGTGCAGGAATGTCTATCGCACATCAATCAGGTCGGTACCTTGCATGTGTCTCAGTATTAAATGCATGTGTCCAGTGGTCTGATGTACAGTATGCAGAACTGTGGTCCCCCTGATGTGGCTGAAATGTATGTTTTTTCTGTTGAAAGAAGCCTAAGGCACTTTTCTGGAATACAGACTGTGTGCACAGAAGAACATTGCAGTGGTTTCTCCCACATCCTTTTCTTACTTTGCTCTCCTTTTACAGGAGGTGTCATCTTTTGGACTTCCACCGGTCTGGACGGAGCAGGACGGCAGCTCAGAGCTGAATATTGTGGCCGTGCTGAATTGCATGTATGACCTGATTCAGTTGCACCGCAGGGGCCTCCGAACCCTGGAAAACATGGAAGTGGAGCAGCTGAAGTCTAACAGCAACGTGGACTACCTGCAGCTCACCAGCACACGTCTAAAGGTACAGAACTCCCCTCAGGGTTCGTCTGTCAGTAATGCTGTGTTCAGTGTATTCAGTCGCTGCTGAACTTCTTCCCTCTGGCGTTCGAGCTAGACACCCTTACATCATCCCTTATTGTGCTTTATGTTTTATTTTTATTTATTTTATTGTATTTTTAGTTAGATTAGTCTTTCAGTCACTGATTTACTGTGAATTGCTGAATTGTACAGCACTTTTGTTCAACTTTTGTGTTTTTAAATGTGCTTTATAAAGAAATTTGAAAAAACAGATAACGTTATCTTCAGTACTACAACTTTCCATGCATAATTAATACCGAATATTATAAAAAATTATAACTAATGTGCAACATTTAAAACTTCTGCTCCCTTCTGTCGTTTCTGCATTTTAACATTGCATTTGATTAGGTTTAGTTTGGCAAAAAGGCTTTGCTGCTAAAACCTCCAATATGATCTTGATCACTGTGTCCATGTTTTTTTGTTTTTTTTTTTGTAGGAGCAGCTTGAAATTTCTAAAAGAGAAAACACAGGACTTCTTGAGCGAGAACGACAGCTACAGCTGAAAGTGAAGAGTTTGCAGAACTGCCTGAAAAATGAAAAAGAAGAGGTACTTTATTTTAAAGAACACATCCGTGGCCAGGTGTTTGGGGTTTGCCTCTGGTATATAAGGTTTTGTTTTTATTTCGCAGGTGCAAAAACTTCAGAACATCATTGCAAGTCGAGCCAGTCAGTACAATCATGAGATGAAAAGGAAAGAACGAGAGTTTAACAAACTAAAGGAGCGACTGAATCAACTTCTGGTTGACAAAAAGGAGAAGAAGCAAGGTAAAATGAAAAATCTCTCCTAGTGCCTGTTCTATATGAAGGGAGGATTCACTTTTTGAGATTTTTATTTCTTAATTTCTATATTTACTCTTCCTGCTTTTCAGCCATTGATGTGTTAAACAACATTGGGAGGGCTGATGGGAAGAGAAGCCTTTGGAAAACTGAAAAGACAGAAGCAAAGTAAGTTCACTTTTTCATCCATAACCTTCGTTTTAGAAGAAACCTTTTTTGAAACCAGCAGGAAACGGCATGATTGGAGAAAGTGTTTTAGTCACCGTCTCTGGACTCTCAAACGAGTAACACATGATCAGCTCCTCTGTCAGTTCTGGTAGCGCACAATTCCTATTCAGCAGGATGAACATCAGCCACAGCTGCTGCTGTTGGGTCATCCTGTGAGCTTTTCTACAGAAATAGGAATGAGCCAATTCATAAAACATCAACTACATTAGGAAAACACTCCCACCAGACCCTCTCAGAATCAGCTGATGTTTTGTCTACACTAACTTTAGTATATGTATTGAAGCCATGCACAGTTTTACCTTCATACTATGGATATTTTCAGAGTTACAGGCCCTTGACGTAAATAGGGTTGGATTGAAATTATGCACTTTTTAATTAATGTTACTTTTTCATCATTTCTGAGCCTCATAACTTCATCCGTACAGCAGATAGACACATGACACATTTAAGTTCTGTTAAAAACTGCAACCAATTTAAGTTTACATCCATCCAGGCGTCACAATCTAAAGTTTAGCTCTGGTTTTTGTTCATTTTTTTCTGCAGCCAACTGTGAGCATCAGTATTATGGGATGTCTCATAGTGTGAACAGTCAGACTGCAGCGGTTTAATCTCTATAGAGTCATAGAAACAATCACTGGTGTCCTCGATGTGTTTCTGGTGTCTGATCATTCACTAGAGAAAACTTTAAAAAGTGCATTCTGGGTAAACTTTCAAGGCTCATATCAGCTTGTTCAGATTTTTTTTCAGTGTAAGTAACTGTGACTCGTGAATAAAAACAGACGGTCGCGTTTCTTGTCCAAAGGCACGAGGGGGAAATGTACAAGACTCTGCTGAGCGACTATGACAGCCGGCAGAGGGAGCTCCTGATGGAAAATGCAGAGTTGAGGAAAGTGTTGCAGCAGATGAAAAAAGACATGGTGTCCATCCTGAGTGCAAGAAAACCAGCAGCGAAAGGCGACAAACACGAACACGGTGGCACGCAGGTCGAACAGATGAATTTCCTTCTTCCTGTTTTTTGTTTTTTTTAACATTGAGCAATTATTTTAGCATCTGAATTAAATGAAAACATACCTAGAAATTATTTTAAAGTGGCTAGTTAGTGCTAATCGTATCTTCTGCCTGTTATTTAGTCGTTTTTAAGCATGTTTGCCCGATGTGCTAGCAACACTCTTAAAATTATTTTCATCCTCATTCCAGGCTGCTTCAGAGGAGGAGGAAGACGAGGTGTTTGACTCCAGTAAGGAAAGTGTGGAGCTGTATTGCGTTCATGCCCGAGAGAAACTGACCAACAGTATTCGTCTGCAGTGGAGGAGGCTCAAGAGTCACGTCGAGAGGCTGGACAGCCAAGGTAGGACCTGACACGCCACACTGTCACCGTTTGACTCTGACACGTAAAGGAACTTTGTAAAAATACAAAACTGGTGCTTTAAATCCTTCTACAATTAAATAAAGTCATAAAAGAAAGAACTGAGAAACTGTCAGAGCAACCAAAGCGTCTGGTCTGATCACAGGTGATGAATTACAGGTGAAAATCCATTTTTATTGTGTTTTGTGGTCGGTGTAAATAAAAGCTGAGAGCACAGCTTCCTTATTTAAAGCAGCTCTAATACCAGGACTTGTACAGTCATGTTGAAATGAATCATTTTTATGGTATTTTGACTTAAAAAAAAATTAAAGAAACTCATTAATTTGTTCAAAAAGCGGCACAGTGTGGGACCTTTAAATGCTGATACAGAATTAAGCTGTTAGTTGGTCAGTTGTTGATGGCAAAACTCAAGAAATATCAAGACTTGTATGGAAGAAAGAGCTAATACAAGGATTTTTGTGTTTAGTGCTGATATTTTTAAAGGCAAACTCAACACCTACCTTTTTCGTGGGGCTTTTGACTGATTTCTTTCTTAGAATTCACTTTATTTATTGATTTCTCTATTTTTTCACTTATTTGCATATTTTAGTCTATTTTCTTGCTTCGTTTTTTTATCATTTCTTACTCTGTTTTTATCATTTTTCACTTCTATTTCTACCTCTATCTCTATTTTATTAATAGATGTTTCATTTTTATTTATTTGTCCGTCTTATTTTTATCTTATTTAAGTTAATTTTACCTCTTCTGGTGTTTCCTCATTGCATGTGTGATATATGATAAGGTTTCCTCAGTTCCTCAGTCCCTGAGTTCTGTATTTCTAACATGACTTTGGGGCTTGTTTGTACTGTTTTATTGCATTTTTATTTCTGTTATCTGTAAAGCACTTTGTGTTGCGTTTTATTTGTATGATGAGTGCTATACAAATCAAGTCTGATTGATTTATTGATTAAATCACACACCAACCAGCCACAGCATTGGAGCCAGCATTGATCATCTCGTGGCTATGCAGTGTTCTGCCGGAAAACCTTAAGTCTGGGCAGTAATGTGAATATCTTAAAGGATTATCCTAACCAGGAGCACAGAGCGTTGACGAGGCCTCCGACCTCCACACATCACAACCCACACAGTGTGGTTATTGTGGCTGATGGTGTATAGCGGACCGCTTTTACATACTCGGTGCCCTAAAACACTAAAAAAAACTGTCGTTACTTCTTACTCAACACATTTGCATGCACGTAAACTTGATGTTCTGGTCTGTGTGTGTTCAGTATCTTTAGCTCAGACAGGTGAGACTACAAACACTGACGCTGTTCCACGAGAGACTCACGAGGAGGAGATGGACAGACTGAAGCTGGAGATTCAGCAGTGCAAAGACTTTATTCAAGCGCAACAGCAGCTCCTACAGGTGAGATGGTAGATACCTGAGGATGTTTGAGATTCATTCATTCAAACTGGCATTTCCACAAGTCAAAGTTACACTGCTGAGACAAAGTATTATGTGGGTCATTCTGAATAAAATCAAACAAATCTAAAAAAAAAAAAAAAAGAATCAGCAGATTTTCATTTATTTTTTTAAAGTATAATAATGGAATTACAAGCCCTTGAAATTCCTCATATTCATTTGGCATTTTTAGGTACTATAAGGAGTCACTTTAATTCTTATCAGTGTTGACGATATGTTATTAAGCACCTGTTTTAAAACCTGGTTTGTGTTTGACCAAAGAGAGTTCAGTTGTAATGTTTTTCTGTTTTCTCTCCTCTTGTAGCAGCAGCTCAGCTCTCCGTGTGACGAGGAGGCGGCGTCCCTGCTGAGCGACGGCTACATGCTGCAGGAGAAGGAGCGACTCGGGGAGGAGTGGAAGACCCTCGAGGGCCAGAGGAAGATCTTCGAGAGGGAGAGGAGGAACTTCACAGAGGCAGCGATCAGACTGAGCCACGAGGTGCTTTAGAGGGAAACCTGGATTTAAAGCGTAACTCGAGGACCGATTTCAACCATTTTTGAATTGACCTGTGTTTGCTTCGTCCCGCAGAGGAAGGCGTTCGAGGAGGATCGCGCCACGTGGCTCAAACACCAGTTTTTAAACCTGAGTCCGTTTTCAGACTCCAAGAAACCTTCGCTGTCCAAGTCTAAAAGTGCCTTTTTAATATGTGAGTGTGGATTCCTCCATGATTACACACATAAAGATGCTTGAGCCCATGTTGGATACAGAGGGAGTAGTGTGAGGGAAGTCTGACATATCCAGGCTTTCTTAAACCTCCAGCAGAGACGATGGTCGTCACAATACCAGCTTTCTTTGCTAACCAGGTTGTTTTCATCAGGCTATGTCCTATAAAAGGGACATCTAATGCATCACTCTTATTCTACACAAAATGGGCATATCCAGCATCTTTGTTAAATATGGTGCATTTTTTTTTACAATCTTTCAGAAATATTTGAAAGTGAGTTGAAAGCAGGTTTTAAAGTTGCAAAGCAGCTTCAGTATAGATTCAGTACATCAGGCTTTTTGTCTGTTTTTATTGATGGAGCTCAATAAGTTCTGACTCTTGTGCAAATGCCCAACAATCTGTAAGTCTTCATTTCATCTTAGCAGCTGAAACCGGGGCGAGTGCCGCTGTGGCTCCGGAGAAGCTCGTCAAACACCAAGCGGAATCACCCAGATGCGTCCCGCTGACGTCGCCTTCCACAGCTGACCTGTATCGCACACTCTGCCTCATCCCAGAAGACAGGTACAGGTTTTTATTTGCGCCGCAGCGACATCATGCACGTGCAGTTTATCCCTAACCGTCCTGCGCAATGTGTTTTCCAGCTCAGCGAAACCAAAGAGACAGACGGAACACGCCGAGGAGTCGAGCATCTTCTGCGCAAAGGTCCGCCTCAAACGGTGGGACGACATCCAAGACCGCTCGCTCGCTCAGGAAAAGAACAGCTCCATATAAAGCCATAAACACTTTCAATCAGAATTATTGTTGATGTCCACTAACTATAGATGATTCGCGGTGTTTCCGAAGTTCGTCTTGATGGTGAATGCCAAATCCTAGAAGATGGATTGTGAAAGGATTAAATAGCTGCCAGTGAGAGCCAAGAGAAACAGTTAGTTTTTTACTAACTTGCTGTTTTCGAGTATGTGGTAAAGGTATTTATTTATTTATGTGGTTTTTGTAAGTCGTGTTTTGGCGGTTTCTTTGTATCTTGTGTCTTGGGTTGTGCTTTCTGTCGGTGCAGGTGAGCAACAAACATCACGTGTGCAGGTAATGACGCGTCGCTTTGCTTATCGGGCGACGCTGCAGATAAATTTGCCTGAATGTTAACAGCTGTTTTTAAAAAAAATCATGTTAAACTTGTCACGGAGCTGTCAAGGAGTTTTAGAATGTAGATTTAATGCTGCTGCTTCTCTCAATGCAATAAGAAACTGGGTAGAATAGAATAAATAAGTTATGTTTAGACATCACAAACAACTTTCTAGTAAATGTTAGATTAGTAAGCGACGCTGTGTGATGCTGCTGTAAAATCTAACACGAGCTACACGATGTGTCGTAGATATTACCATTAGACCGCTAACATGAATGTAAATTGTTTACGTCATTTATTTTTTTATATGTTTTTATCTTGGGTTTAGCTGTTGGTTACCACTGGAATGTGAAATCATGTGTTGTAGGATGTTGATTGTTGACAATTACAAGTTCATAAGCGGGCGCATTTTCTTTTCATTTGACATATTTTAGAGGAACTTGTGACTGATTTTCAGCTGCTCTTCCTGTTGTGGCCCTCAGTATTGAGCTGTGAAGGGCCTGTGACTGACAAAAACGTCCAATCGGGTTCTGTGATAAAATCCCTGTTCAGTGTTCCAATTTGGTTTTTGGATATGATTCTTGCTCTGGGTTTAAATGCCGAACGAACAAATGGAAGACGCACCAGAGACGACAAATGAAGACTGTTATGCTAAGTCAAATTAAGCCAGATTAGAGGCAAGTTAAATTGTGGGGTTGTGGAAATAACAAACTAAAGCAACACAACCAAACCAGGTTGTAGGATGCTGTAGAAAGAAGCAGAGAGTTTAAACTTAAGTAATGCAGGAATAAACTGGATGCCACCTGCACAAAAATACAGTTTAATACTGTAACAGCCTCCAAGAGAACCATCACACACGGAAGGTAAGTAGTTTTGTAATAAAGTACTTTATTAATGTGTTACAATATGGAAAAAAAATGACTGATCAATATGTGAAGGAATGATGATATGTTCAGGTGGTTTTGTTCAAAGTTCGACACACTGGTCACGGGTTTGATTCCGACGTGGACGACATTTGAATTTCTTTTTGTCAACGAAATATTTGAATCCTGTTTAGTCCCTGCACAGACTGACGCTGTGATTTTCATGGAAGAAGTTTTTCAATAAATGCAAACGCTGCTGCCACTCACACACAGTGATGCTTTGTAACGTCTGTCTCTGAAGATTCTCAGTCATCCAGGTCATGGTTGTTCTCGTAGTTTAATCGTAGCAACTGGACTTAAGCTTGAGTTCCTTGAAGACGTTCCACCTCTCATCCAAGAGGCTTCATCAGTTCTGACTGACTAGTTCCAGATACTTATATCCTAAAGGAGCCATTAACACCTGAGTTTTGGTTTCAATTGGGGGTTTGTTGCTCCTCACCCCCTCGTTATGTGGGTTGTTAGTGCTCCCCCAGTCACAGTGGGGTTTTGCTTTTGTAATGTCGTTAATTTTTATATCCACCCTGGTTTTAACAAACATCTACAGCTTTGAAAATAAGTTTTCTGTCCGTTCCTCTACTGTTCTTGGTGGAATCATACTGCCTTTTCTTCTTGAGGTTGTAACTGACGAGCTCGAATTCTAGTTTCTTGTTTTTCTGTTTTAAATTTTAACAAAAACAAGAATAGGATCACGTAAAACCAAAAAACTAACTGTTTTCCATTTTGTTACTTTTCCTTTTATTGTTAATGTACATTGTAAAAGCAGGAAAACAGTCTTGCATGTTTTTTAATTTTTTACATTTTTGGTATATGATGGGAAAACTGATTTCTCTTTAGTGCCCAGACTTCTGTCTTCTTGTTTTCTTATAAGCCTCTTCTTTAAAGTATTATTGAATTATTGTGCACACCATAATAGTGACTTTTAGAGGACGGTATAGTTATTTCACCGCTATGATGAAATTCTAGCAAAATTATCCACATGGAGGGCCTGCTGTGTGTTTTTGGGCAATGATGTCATTTTCATTTTAAAAAAAATTCTGCATGCCCCCACAATGGATTTAAAATGAAGCAACTTTTAGCTTCTAAACAAAAATATTGCAGCCATTTCTTTACATATTCCTCAATTTTCACAAGCTCAAAAGTAATTAGACAAACTAACATGCTTGTATATAAATATAAGGATTATTTTAAATGCTTTAAAGCAAATCTTTTTTCATTGTGGAATCTATGAAAGTTTCCTCCTCTGAGGTGCTTTGTGAAGCTTTTAACTGGTTGCCTTTAGTTGCTGTTCTGTCTCCAGTTTTATCTTTATTAAGTGAAAAGTGCAGCTAAAATGGGTTGACATTGGTTTACTGACCCTGCCATTTCAGTTTCGTTGCCTTAAGAATCTTTTAGGTTGCCTTTGCGGTGCTTTTTGGGTCATTGTCCATCATCTGTACTCTGCTGTCCTGTCAGGTTGGCAGCATTTGACTGAATCTGAGCAGAAAATGTAGCTCTAAATGCTGCAGGTTTCATTCTACTACTTCTGCCAGCGGTCACATCATCAGTAAACGCTGAGTTCCATTTTCAGCCATACAGGCCTAAACAATGATACTGCCACCACCATGCTTGACTGATAAAGTGCTTCTCGTCCCTTCATTCTGTTAAAGTTGGTTTCATGTGTCTAAAGAATCTTGTTTCAGAACTTGTCAGTCTTCTTTTTTAAAAAATTATTTTTACTAGTGATGGTTGATATCATGTTTCTGTTCTTGAGTGTTTGCATCTTAAGGTTACATTCATGAAGGTGCCTCTTGATTGTAGACTCCTGTTTCCTTGTTTTCTCTCCTAAAGTTTCTGCTGTTTCTCTGATTGGTCTGTTTGGTTTTTTTTTTTTTTTGTTACAGCCTAATGTTGTCTTTGGACTATGTATACAAATTTAACACTTGGAATCAACTCCAGCTCTTTAGTCTCCTTCTTAAACTGGTCATACTCAGCCATGAAACTGCTTTTTAGTCAACACATTTTGAGCTTGTGAAATTATAGGCACCAAAAAATTGCTGTAACTTGTATTAAAACTTAAAGTCAAGCTTCCGAATCTAACAGCCAACTCAAGCAAATAAACAATCAAGTCCATGAACTTCATTTGAGATGCAGTTTATTTGAAATTAGACGGAAAACATACAGAGGATGTAAATGACTGACAAAAGACAGCGTTTTTAGACACACTGCGCTGTGCAGCTGCAGGCCATGTGAAAGTCAATGGTGTCCCTCACGTCTTCGCTCCTCTCGGAGATGTTTAGCCCGGTTCGGTCGGAATCTGCACAAGTGAAAAAGACGCAGAGGGATTAGGAACTGTGTGCTGTTCCTCTGCATTGTTACTGGAACCGGCTGTGATTCTTATTTTGCAGACTCACCAGCGGGCAGGCAGTGGAAGCCAACATTGACTGGGGTGGTCTTCACGGGGACGCAGCCGGGCAGACAGCGCAGCACAGGCTCAACAGAGTAGCATCTGGACTCCTGGCCACGTACGTTCACCTGCTTCTCCAGCAGCACAGACTCGTGACTCAAACGGCACTCTGCAAAGAGAACAAACAAGTTTATAACCTACTCGGGAGAACTGTTCTGTTCCATGCACTGCGATCTTTGGGTCTCACCATTGGGATTCTTGCAGCTTTGGCCCTGCACAACCCAGGACAGAGCGTGGAGTTCGGTGTTCTTGCCCAGGCGTCCGGAGGGCAGGCGGTAGTCCTGTTTGAACTCTCCTTGAGCCCCTCCACAGATTCCACAGGTCTTTCCTTTCATCCAGTCCGGGATCATAATCTAATCCGATGAGACATTAAGAACATCAAATATATCTGTCAGATTTATCAGATCCCTTGATCTGTTTGTGTCTCCCTGAGGTCACACTTTTACAAAGTGATCAATGTGACTTCTTACCTGCCATGAGTTCTTGTCATAGTAGAACTCAGCAAGACCATATTGAGGTGCAATCACAACGATGCCTTCATCCTTTCGTCTGACCTGGATGCCTTCTGTAAAACAAAAAAAGTCAGCACTTAAAAGCAGTTTCGGAAAATTTTAATAAAATCTTCTCCGAGGAACGAAGGATAAAGTTAAATGTCATTGTTGCTAGGATGGTGAAGAGAAACCTCTGAGTTCCTGGAATGACTGGGTAATGGGCGTTTCCCTTGAGTTGACCTGCAGAGCCACGTCGTTGCTCCTTGGGTAGAGGTCAATGTCGCTGCAAGGGCACAAACGAGAATGTTGTGTTGTTTTGTCAAATTTTGGACAAGAACCAGAGATTCTCTCTTGTTGCGAACGAACACTCACATGTCAGCGATCTTAATGTTGATGAGGTCGCGCTCGCGCTCGTCCTTCCTCAGCAGAACAATGAATTTCAGGTCTTCCGTGCAATCCGCTGCCAGAATCTGATAGCAGGACTCGGGCGTCTTGATGGAGTATGTCCTGTTGTTGAACGTTCTCAGTTTGTCTTTGGAGGAACGGCATTCAGCTGAGAGGGAAAAACACTGCTTTAAACCCCTGACACACAGGAAAACATCAGTGCCATTGGGCTTCTTTATTAGACTCCATCAGCCATTACCTGGAGCAATTCTGGAAATCATGTATTGCACGTTCTTGCTGTAGTCTCTGGAGGGGATTAAACCTCTCATGTCTTGAAGTGGCAGCCTGATGGGAAGAGGCACAGTCTGCTTGTAGACATTGCCCTGTAGACGAAAGAATTCTCAGTTATAAGAAGAAGAAGAAGAAAAAAAGAATAAATATGACTTCCTGTTTTAGGAGAGCAACTCTTCCTACTCTTTCTGTTTTCCAGATGAAATCAAGGATCCTGTCAGATACTTCCACCACCGTGAATGAGAGCTGCTTGGTGCTGTTTCTGTCCCTTCCTTGAAACAAGTTGGCCAGCATGCGAGAAGGAATGCTCCTAGATGCCCTGTGAAAACATTTTTCCAAATGTCAGACGTTTTATGTGCATTGCATGTGAGCAGGCTGAAGACGGCGTGTATGAAGTTTCGTACATCTTTGCGTAGCGTTTCAGGACGGAAGGTATTCTGTTGTAGCGCAGTCTGAGGCGAGCTGCAGGCTTATCACCAACATTGCCAGTTTCAGCGGTCACCGTAGTGTCGTATTGGCCGCAATCTGTTCCCCAAGTGACTCGAGCCTGTTAGGAAATAGTAGAAATGATCATGAGGCAGCTGGTTTTAAGGTCTTTGTTGTGATGCAGTACAGACAGAAACTTACCGTGGCTTTGTGCATGCTAGACACAACACCATCAGCGCAGATCCTCCAGCTTTTATCAACAGCCAAGGGAGCCAGAATAACCTGAAGTCTGGCGGTAGGTCGGTCCAGGTAGGTGGCAACTTTGTATCCCTGCATCCTGTTGTTAGCCTTCACAGCACGGAAGACGACAGCCAAGATAGCATCTTCGCTGCCCAGGAATCTTTTCTGTGGGGACAAACGTGGTTAATTCATGCAAGTATGCCCTTAAAACCCAGAAGAAGACTTGAAGAAATTCTTTATTTTGTTCTTGTCGACTGAATTTTACCTGTTTGTAGACCTTCTCAACGCTTGAGGAGGCACTCGTGCTTCTGTTACGTGCTGATGAGGTGGCCCGGGAGTTGAGACCCTACGACAGCAGCAGGTGGAGGTTAGCGGCGCAAAAGTGTGACTCGGCTTCGGTTCAAACTGTACAATATATCGTCATAGTTTGAAGCCCAATAGCAACATACCTGTTTCTTGTGGGTCTTCAGGAACCTTTGGGAATTATTCAATTGCTGTTGAGAAAAAATATCTTGTTGAGCTTGCACACTGGCTATATTGATGTGATAATATTGTTTTCTGCAGAGTTATAGAATAACTTACCTTTGACTTGCGAGAACTGGAGCTAGAAGAGCTTGAGCTTCCACTTGATTCGGAGCTGGAACGGGAAGACCTGCGGATAGTTCTCGCAGAGCTGCTGCTGCTGCTGCGGCTGCTGGTGGTGGAGCTGCGGCTGCTGCTGATGCTGCTGCTGTTGCTGCTGGCGCTGCTGCTGCTGGCGCTGCTGCTGCTGCTCCTGCTCCTGTCGCTGCTGCTGCTGCGACTGTGGCGGCGTTTACTGGGTTGAACAGTTGCATCATTGACCTTGCTGCTGGTGCGAGATGAGGAGCTGGAAGAGCCAGAGGAGGACTTGGAGCTGGTTCCAATGGAGCTGCTGGAGCTAGAAGAAGAGGAGGAGGACGAGGTGCCATTCCCCACATTAGGAGCCAGGATTTTCCTGAGCTTCATCAGGATTGGTCCTCCCTGACGGGCTTGTTCTTGGCTCATGGCGATCTTTTTGATGAGCCTCTCTGCAGCCTTTTGTCTAATTCCAACCTCCATCTCCAGCCTCTCAACGACTTCACCTTCAACTGAAAATGCAATGAATGAATGCCATTAACACCGATTTGTGCACAGTGCTTTTACAAAATGCAGAAACATTTTGTTTACTCATTGCTTACTTGGTTTTAAAGAAAGAGCGACAGAGTGGCTTCCAGCCAGTTTGTACATGGCAACGTCCTTGAGGAAACCGGCATTTTCACTAGCAACCTTGAAACAGGCCTTCAGTCCAACACCAACCAACTTAGTGCAGTACTTCTTCTTAAACTCAGACACTCTGGATTTAAGGTTTTCCCTGGACGCTTGCTCTTCCCGGGAAAGGATCTCCACGGATTGTGCCTTTGAGAAGAAGTTTAAATGAATTATATTATAGTTGTAGATACAACTGCAGCTGTTTCTGTAAAACAATGAGTAAAACTCACCACGCTAACAGCAGCAGAAGAAGCAATTTTAGATGTGAGAATCTCCTTTGAGCGGGATTGCAAGCGTTTGACAGGGACGATAGGAGTGAATCTTGCAGCAGTTTCCTCACTATTTCTTGTCATAGCAAGAGTCTTAACTCTGTTGAAGAGAAACAAGGATCATCTTGGCTCTAAAGGCATGATGTGTTATATTTTCAAGGGTACACAGTGAGTTAAAATGTAAGTCTTACTCCACAGCTGCAACGGTTTCAGGCACTGAAACAGGCAGAGCTTCGATCTTAAAGTGCTCCTCTGGGATGTTAATGCTTGCAGCGATTTTGACCGGCGTGGTGAAGTTGAGTTTGGCTTTCGTAATCACACCAGCCTGGAGTTCAGCAGTGTTTATGCCCATCACAGCAAATGTGTTCACAACAGCACTAGGAAAAAAAAGACATTTGTTATGTAGACTTTATTATATTATACAGTTGGTGCTTTCTGTCGTCGGGTGTCAGACTTTGTACCTACCTTGGTCTGATCTCGGCGTCGAGCTGAACGTCTCTGCTCCAAAGTTCGGTGAGAGCAAAGCCGCTTGGCAGAGCTGGTTTAATTTTGGTTTCAACTAAGAGGGCAAATAAATAAATGCATCAGTCACCTCTCAGTGTAAAACTTACACTGTTTAATGATAGATATTATGTAACATATTAAAAAGAAGGTTTTCTTTTTTCTTTAAAACACGAATGTTTTTTCCGCAATATTAAGCTTTATAATATGTTATAAGTTTAACAGTTAAGACTGCGGCGTGAAAATAAGTTACAATCTGGCAGGAAGGAAGGGTGACAAAAATGTTAAAGTGGAATAAAGTCATGTTTGCAAGCTGTAAAAAGTTGTGAAAATAACAGCAAATATCTGAAATTTGTTTGCAGATTTAAATGCAGTGAAACAACATTATGCAGACATTTTACTAGGTTTATGCCTGTTTTGTTTTTTGTTTTTTTACAGTGAACTTGTAAATGTATTAAATTAGATTAGATTGTAAAATGATAATTGATAAATCTTTCATAATTTAATGCATTTTTTTCCCCTTTAAAATAATGGGAAATTTCTGTAAAATAGTAATGTTTTTTAAATTATTTATTTATTTTTTAACAGTGCAATTATATGAACCCACAACGTGAAAGAACAAATAACAATTTGTAAAAATGCCGATTTTTTACGTGGACATTATTTACAATTTTGGCCTGTTTTTTTTTTTTAGCATCAAAATTAATCCATTTTGTATAACTCTTTTATTAATATGTGTATTTTACAAAGGCAGGGACAATATGTAAAATTGTTCATAAAGTTACAGTAAACAAAACATCTGGGATAAATGGGAGCTGTAACGAGCTGAATTGTGTTTGTTTTCTCGTTTCTGCTCACCTTTAACCGTTGCAGCGGTCACAGCAGCAGTGTACAGACTGAGCTCCAGTGGAACACCGGCGACAGTCGGCAGTATGCGACGCACCTCAGTGGCCAGCATAGGCTTGGCAACGTGGACGGAAATACCAGACTGCAGGAAGTCGATAGCCTTTCTGCCAAGTCCCTGATCATAAGCTTGACGTCCGTACTGCACAAGAACAATATTATGAGCATTGTGTCTCGTAAAATCACAATGAAACTGGTCTTGAAGCCGACATGTTTGACTCGTACCTCGATGGCGTTGTTGATCAAGGTTTTGTCAATGCTGCCAAAAGCAACTTCTTGTCCGAAGAGCTTGATGTAGAAGGAGCCCAGAGGCTTGCTGCTGGGCTGAGACCTCCAGTGGGAGAACTGTGGAACGAGTTAAAGAAAAAAACAACCAAAATGATCATTAGCCTGCAGCGTTTCCTCATGTGACGCTGGATAGTGTTGCATGCTCGACAGTGTTGTGTGCTGCTCACATCGCTGATGATGCGCTTCATCTTGTTGATCCTGTCGGCGTTGTCGAGAAGCGAAGGGTTTTTCAGGAGGGCCTCCTGCAGCCCCTCAGCTCTCACTCCGACCTAGGAGGAAGAGAGCGCTGTTAAAAGAACAACTTTCAAAATAGTTCTTGGATATCTGGACAGACTTTCTTTTCCATTTACCTCCAGAACATCAGCAACAGCTCCAGCGATGTAGGCTCTGGTTTTAGCCATGATGGCTTTGGGAAGAATGGTGGCGGCATCGTTGATGTAGAAAACGCTGGCAGCAGCACCGAGCATGTAGTCCCCTGAGAAACAGTTCAATGCAGTTAGTCGATTCAAAAAAGAAACTTGACGTAACTTAATCCACATGTGACGTAGGCTTTACTGTCGTAGATGTCCATGTGGACGGCTCTGCTGTAGTGCAAGCTCAATCTCTCCAGCCTGCGGGCCAAGATTTTGATGGCGACATTGCAATTGGCAACACTGCAACGAAAGCATCAGAGAGCTCAACAAACATGGATCAGTTAACGCGCCGACCCCTGATGGTGAAAAGTAGTGCTCTTACACTGAGGCTTCGACGGTGCTGGTGCTCCTTGTCAGAGACTTCATGTGAGAGTAAGTGAAGCTTGCTACCTGCAGGTTCAACTCTCTCTTCACACTGTTGGCAACAGTCATCACCAAAACCAGCGGAGGTCTCGTCTCAAACAGCACAATGCATGAAAGCATGCGGATCTCTGGGTGAAGAGACTTGTCCATGTAGAGCTGAAGAGCCAAGTCCTGGACCTAATTCAGAGGAGAAAGCAAAGTCAGTATGAAGTTATAAACACAAGCAATCTGAAATACTCTTTGGCGTTTAGAATTCACCATTTTGGGCTCCTTCTTTGCGATGTTCCTCAGGGCCATGAGGGCTTCGGTGTGAACTTTCATTGGCTGAGTTGCACCTGAAGTGCCATGAATGGGCAGGTACTTGGTGATTTTCTTGATGGTAGCAGGAAGCCCGGCATTTCCCAAAGTCTTCAGGTACAGGATCACATCCTCTTCCTTCGTCAACCTCTCATTGAAATACTCCTGGATGGGCTGTTGGAGGAAATGAGACATTCAGATCCCCTTTTCTTACCCAGAAATGTGCACACAACTTTGCAGCAGCATGAAAAAGAAAAAGTTTTTTCCTCACATTTATGAGTTCAAGAGGACAAACAGCCATCTCAGAACAGTGCCTGTAGATCATGGAACCATAGCCAAGCAAGATGACGTCACGCTGAAGTGGCTTCTCATTTATTTTGGGGTTGCTGATCAGGGTCTAGAACAGTGCAAAGTTCAGAAATGTTACACACCTCCATTCTTGTTACAAAAAATGTAAGTTGCTCTGGGGTTTACCCACCTGAAACAGCTGAATGGACTCTGTGCTTGCTGTCATCATGTGAATAGAGCCCATCAGAGCCTGAACTACTTCAGGCACCATCAGCTGCTCAGTCAGGAGTTTGTCTCTGAGGAACCTCAGAGCAGCAGGAGTTGCGGTGACGGTGATGGAATCCATAAACCATTGTCTGAATAGGCACGAAGACAGTAAGTGAAAGTGCACATATTTGTACCTGTTATGCAAATGTACCTGCACGAAAAGTCACCTTTGGGCAGGCATTTTATTGTATTTGCGCCAGAGCACTTCCAGGTCTTCATACTGGATTGCACGGAGGAGCTGAACTAATTCCAAGAACTTCAGAGGGGCGTCCTCGTGGACTGTTGCCACATTGTGGGTCACCAGGTGGTTCAGAGTCTCCTCAATCTGAGAATGCAGGATTACAGGGGATGAAGGTAAATATGGTAGAGAATCAAATATTTTATTTTAATGACCTTTTGAAATAGTCTGAAACATTACCAGGGCCTTTGCATTGTTGGTCCTGATGATCTGAATGGGTGCCTGAATGAGCTCAGTGGGGAACTCATACTTGAGAGATCCATGGGGAACATATCCAGGCCCGGCAACTGGGACAATTGGGGCATTTCGGATCTCGTGAAAGATCAAGGATTGCCTTAAAAGCAATTTGGGGGGGGGGGGAGAAAGGTGAATTTGCAGTTTCTTAAAATCTCCAAACTGACATTTTTAAATCCTCAGTATTTGTTGACCTACTTGGTTTCCATCTGAGCAGCTCCTTTCATGTCACTGAAAGGCGAGAACTGGATGAGCTCGTTGACTCTCACTTTCTCGATCAGGACGCCGCTAGCAAGCCGCTTCAGGGTGTAATCGTATGTCGTAGCTCCTCTCAGGTTTTTGGCATCCTGTGATGACAAAAGCACATGGTTGCTTGTTCATGGAGCTTTGCACTTTCACAGATGCGATAAAGTGGATTTTAGACTTACCTCCTGGCACTTGACACATTTCTCAGTGTATGCCAACCCCATGTCCTTGATGACCCTGTCCTGACATTGGTTCATGTCCCTGGTCTTGGTCAGACGGATGTGGTCAGCCTGGTCGTCTTCAATAATGGAATAGAGGGTCTTGCACATACCCTGAGTTCCGGCCTGGTGAGCAGAACACACGTTTAGTGCCGAGATTTTGCTTCGGATTTATAATCAGTTCCGTGGGACCTTTGACAAACCTCCTGCAGTTCGTAGACATTGTGTGTCTTCTTGATGTTGAGCTCAAGGGCACTCAGGATTCCTCTGTAGATGTTCAGCGCCATTGCTGGGACTCCCGGAGGGGCGAACATTGTTCCGACAACACCGTTGGTATATTCAAACTCGACGGGAGTCATGAGCTGAGTTGCCAGCAACGTCGTCAGCTTGGTGGCCTTGATGAACTTATCCTGAGGCCAAACGCCATTGTACTCGTAGAGCTCAGGATCCTCAAGCTGCAGCAAGAGAATAACATTTAATCACCAGCAATTTGCATTTCAAAGGCTGAAATGGCTGTTGCTTACATAGAATTCGGCTCTTTACCTTCAGCACAAAACGGTTGCCTTCAGTACGGATGAGGATTCTGCTGGTGAAGTTGAGTCCGGCTCGTGCCAAACCTTCGTCTGGCAGGCCGCCCAGGATCACCGCCTCATACTTGTAGACGTAAGTTTTACCAACAGTGAATTCCGGAGCTGTGAGCACAGTTTCACTTGATGAGGATGGTGATATAAGAACCAAAAATGATTAAACATTAGCTGCAGTGAACGTTGCTCATGGGAAAAGTACCGAACTTACCAAGGTGGGAAGATTGACAAGCTGAAAATAAATGAAACAGAAATTAATAATCCAGCAAGTAAATGGTCAAACTACTGTACCAATATTTAGATATCATCGTAGACGGAGCACATATAAGGGAGAAAAGAACATGCTCCAGATTTAGAAATGCGACAAACACAGAAACAGAGTGAAACCTGAACTGTGAGGGAAAAACGATGCAAAAATGAGAATGCAGCAAAATGAAAACAAAGCTTGAAAGCACTTATATTGAAGAAGATGCACGACAAATCCAAGTTCCTTCATAAAGCCTTTGTGTTAAAGCAGTTTCAGTATTACATCACATTTAATTATTTACTATTATATACTATATGAATGCAACAAGCTCCCTGGTCATTAAAACAACAGTTAAATAGTTGAATTTATCAAATAAAAAAAATCAAACCTACAACAAATATACAGCACGTTGTTTAGTGAAAGTAATTTGCTATCAGGTCTGAATAATATTGTGATTTTAGAGTTCTTTTTGCTCACATCAGGGTATTTAAAATGAGCACGTTGTTCAAAATTTAAGCAAATATGTCAAAAACAAACAAACAGCTGTACATTGTATTGAATATAAAACAGTGAATGCAAGTAGAGCACACACATAAAGGTAAACAGGCCTAAAGGTTACGCTACAACATGCATGATGAGCTGTTGTTCCTGTTCAGCTGAGGATTCGGGTCGTGTGCAGAAAACAGCATTCAGTTGAAATGATGTATTGTTGCGAATTAGCTTTATTTATGTTTGGGTTTTAGTTTTGTGGTTTCTGTCAACTTCAAATTACTCTTCATCCCTTTAAACTGACTTTTTTTTCATGCAAAGTGCAAAAAATAATTGGTTTACTGCTCCTTTTGCGCTCGTGTTTCCTCAATATCTTCGCCTGCAGCTCAGTGTTTTCTTCAGAGGACAGAGCAGTAAGTGCAATGGCAAAATCACGCAAAGCAAATGCTTCAGTTGGAAATTGGAAACTGCTGTCCTTAAAAATGAAACTGCAGCAATGCAAGCTGTGCAACGATTTAAGTGCATTGAACTTAAATCAGTGGCATTAAAATTACATGTTAATTTGCAAGAACTTAATTCAGTTACGTGTTACTACTCGAAGCAGTTCAAGATGGTCCAACTGTTCTTTTTTTTTTAGATTTTTCTTTAGTATACGAGTTCTACAGTAAGAAATGACCACCTAAAAAGGCAAAAAAGTGAAAGCATCCACCTATAAAAAACCACAAAACACAGCCTGATACTCACCCACGAAGGCCAGAGTCAGGGCAAGCACAACCACTCTCATGGCTGATGAGGTTGTGAGGCTGTGTGGTGTCGATCGGCCGTTTAAAAAGGAAACCTGGTGCTGGAAAAAAAAAAAAAACCCACGGGGATGTCATGAAGGTATGACATGAACCCTGGCATGTCTGATCACTGCAATAATAACTAATCTGTCATACTCAAACAAATTTGGGTTTGGTTTTGACAGGACGCCACGGAAAGTTAGGGTCACCTCAGCTTTTTCTTATCAGAAGTCAAATAGCACCATGTTCACGATGTTCTACTGGTTGATGTGACAGTTATGCCTCAAATTCTGTCCTCCTATAACAACACTTAGTTCAAATGAGATCATTTTTATTCTGATATAGATCTGGACAGTTGCTGATGTGTAGATTTATTTTACACGTAAAAGAGGTATAAGTATAAAGTTTTATTTGACTCAAGGGTTACATGATTTACAGTCTTTGATTAAAGAGGGAGAAAAAAAACTTTATTAAATAGAATAAAACACAAAATAACAAATGTAAAAATAAAGCCGAAAAATAGGGGATCCCTTCGGGCCATGGCTTTAAATCTAATTTAATCTGATTATTCTCTTTCATTTATAATACTGTGGGATCTACACTCTAATATATTAGAGAAATAAAGTCAATAGTCTGAATCTCTTTTGGGCGACAGAAATATGTCAGAATTTATTAACGACAAAACTACATAGAGCAAATGTTATATTCAAATCAGTGTACAAATGTAAATTTCAGATTTCCAGCAGATTTTCTGAGTGTGAAGTTCACTCGACGTCAGATTTTGTGAATCTTCGACTCTGTAGTTTTTAATTCTTTCACTTTTTTCAATTGACAAAAGGAATAAAGGTTTTTATAAAAAGCTTTATCGATTTAGACCAATAAATATCTGATAAGTATCACATTTAATAATATATTATATTATTATAGTAGTCAGGTAAAGTTGTGTTATCTGTATTTTCTCTGGAGTTTTGATCCTTAATATTTAAATGACTTGGGTAAATCCACAACACTTGTAGAGCCTCAGCCTTTCACATGTTGGTTCAAGTTTAAGCTTTAATCTTTTTTCTTCTACTGGAAAACACTTTGGCTGCTGATGCTTTAATGTGCTTCATACAGAACAGTGACTCATCTTGGCTCATGACACTCATCCATCACATATGAATGTCATTTACTGTAAGTCTGCGTTTAATTCTTGACTTTCCATACCCACATTATTAATTTTTTCAATGTTGTGGGTGTCTCTCCAGTTTCAAAGTTCACACAAGAGGACACCACGACTACGACTGTTTGCTCACTTTGTTTGTTGCAGTCAGAGTGACCACCGAGGTCGTGACATTTCAGCAGGTCCATCTGGTTTGTTTGATTGCGTTTTGTGTGCAACATGGAAGTGACAGAGCATTTTTGTTTCCTGGCTGCCAGTTTGGCTCAGCCTGTTTCTTGAAATGCCTCCTTAAACTTTCCAAGAAAATAGTTTAGTTCAATGTGGTGACTTCAGTCATGTTCAGTATGTTCTCTTTTAGTTCTTTACTGAAAAATGTCCACTTTTTAAAAATGCAAAACGAGCCACAATGTTAGATAGATGGTCTCCAGACCTCATCACAGTGGACAAACACTTATGACAAACTAAAATATTAATTAGTCTTTG